TTATTATTATTATTATTATTATTATTATTATTATTATTATTATTATTATTATTATTATTCAATGAAGAGTGCTACGCCTGATATTCAAACACCAGAAAATGTGTTCAAGAAACTAAAAATGAGCAGACAAGGCACAGACGTGTAGGCTGACTAGAGACTTCCTTCCCAGGGCATAACTAGAACTAACTAGCTATGACTGAGCGTTCGAACATCTGCTAAGCCAGAAAGGACAGTGAGAACGACATGTTATCATATGGCCTAGGTAATGTCTATGACCCCAAAAACAAAAATTTAATAGCAGGTACGTTATCAGCGGCTTCAGCCTCGAAAGTGTTGATCTTAGCTAGAGTGAAAGAGCTTGGTTATTGAGCAGAGTAGCTTGTTTGTACTCAGAACAAAAGTATAATAAGAAGAACCACTTGTCTTTATTTTACCTTATCTTAATGCGCATATAATTTGGGGTTAATTCTCTTTTTTTTTTTAATGCTATCGAAATAGCCAGTGCGATTATCCAAGGAGGCGATATTTTATTCCTTGTTACTAGACAGTCCAAATAACTGCCTTTCTTTTATTCTAATGAACAAGTTCCTGTCGATCGTAATATGTTAGTTTTTTTTCTGCTGTTTATTAATGATAAATAACAAGTTGCAAATGAATCACGTGGCATCTGGCTCCTCTTACATATCATTCCTTTTTCTCCCCATCATCAGTGGACTGTTAAAATTCTCCTATTTTTTCCGTAATATCATCGAGATCGAGTGCCATTTTGTAATTGGTTTCAAATGTACCAAGGGCGCGGACGCTTCAGTGTTTATAGCGGTGGGTGGATGAAGGCGAGAAAAATAGAGTGACTTTCGCAATAACAGTGCAGATCGCGTTTAAGGAGCGCGATGGTCTAGCTAAGGATGGATCGGATTGGTTGTTGGACAGTAGACGTTAATTTGCATTGAAAACGGTTTGACAGGTTGATTAAGCATCATAAACTAGACTTGGTCAATATGACTATTTGTAGCGCACGTTCTCGACGATCTTTAAGTAAAAATAAGGGACTATGAACATTCTACATCATCAGTAAAGGTCCCCCGTAAAATTTCTTAATCGGCGATAGCTGGTAATCCAGAAACACTTTTATCCCGGGGGGAGCTCATTGGCCGAGTTTGGGTGGAAGTGTGCTGCTGAAGCCTTTCAAACCTGACCCTGTTTAAGACAAGACATTGTTC